AATTAAAATCCACACCTCTTAAGGCTGGAGAAAGACTGATGGCACACAACAGTCCTGTGCCACTTACACAACAGCCGACAAATTTAAATAATTCGAAGAGATTTGAACATTGTTTCCCAGGATAATTCAGGTCTCGTTTTTCCAGGAGCCATGAAAGGGGATCTAATCTGTACCTGGGTGGGTCCACAGAGTGGGTGATTTAACCACCTTTTAACTTGAGCATCCTTTAGCTCAAAAAGGTGGGCAACTATGGGCCCCTTTACGACCTGTGGACTTCAACTCCCAGAATTCCTGAGCCAGAGATTGTGGGAGTTGATGCCCAGAGGTCACTGAAACATGACCGGCCGGCAAGGGAATGCTGGGAGTTGAAGTCCACAGGTTGTAAAGGGGGCCCACTCTGCTTTAGCAAAGCCAGATGTTGGATTTATCCAGAAGTCGTCCCGTGATGCACCTGTCGGGACAGGTAGATCCTCCTGAAGAGGCCAAGATACGGGGGCCTCTCTAGGACCAAGCCAGTTGTGCTCCGAAGAAACTGGCCATCGGTGGAGAACCTCGGCCGCCACATCCGACGGCAACCGGGACACCCATGTTCCATCGTCAGTGATGGGTTTTGTGTGGGTCTTCCAGCATGGATCCGTTGGGACACGTTGCAAAGACCGAGGTTGGAGTCGCCTTCTGGATAGAAAGCTATTCGTGCTCCACATACGGGCAAGTTCTTGACTTGCAACCATTCGTGCAGTGACCAAAACGAAAGGGGACTTCGTGAATCCTTTTCGCACTTAATGACCGCCGCCCCGTCCTGAGTCGCGGGATCAAAATCCAAATGCTTGGCAAGTGACTCACCTTTATGACGGTCGTGCGATTCCCCTCTTGGGACTTCCCTACTAGCAAAGTCCTATGGTGGGGGGAAGCCAGCTTCACGTAAGGACTGGCGGGACTAACTTAAGACCACAATTTGGTTAACGACGGTGGCAGGAGAGGTCGTAAAATGGGACAAATCACTTAACAACGGTCTCGCTTAGCAGTGGAGGTTTTATAGGATTGATTTCTCTATAGGATTTATCGGCCGCCCCATCTTAACGTCCGGTAACTCTGGGATGGCTCTCAGCTACATATATGGTGGTCGTTAAGTGGAGGACTCCTCGTAGCTGCTACTTTGACCTCACCTGGCAGTTCCCAGCCACCCCATTTCTGAAGGAGGCACATCCCCTCCTCCTCCCTCCCCCCCACCTTAGGTCTCTTGAGTAGACCCTCCCCCTGGCCAGGGCAAGGCTTCTCCCCTCCTTGTGAGACACAACACACACACACACACAATGACACACAACCAGAGCTTTTTCATATTAAACTTGGTTTTTTTTTATTGAGGTGCATTAACAAATGGGTTGGATTAACAGGGGGGAGGGGAAAGGGGGGGGGCACAGCTTGACCTGGGAACAGCGGAGGAGAGTAAATATGAACCAAGGAGACAGTTCAAAAGGGAGGGAGGGAGGGATTTTTAATTTTTTGTTTTAAAAAAAAAACCCACTTTCTCCCCCCACCCCCCAAAATAAAAGATTTCCCTAACCTGAAAACAGCTTTTTGGGCGGTTTACCCAGGGGGAGGAAAGGGGGGGGGGTGCTAACCCTGTAGAATGGAGGGAGGGGGAAGGAAATCCAACATGATTGACAGGGACCAGAGTAACCCTGCCCCCTATATACTCCGCCGGAGGGGGCAGGTCCCCGTCATTCCAGGGCCCTCCCCCCCCCCC